TGGTGTGGGCTTGTTCGGAATACTGTGTACAGTTCTGGTCACCGCACCTCAAAAAAGATATTATAGCATTGGAAAAGGTGGAGAAAAGGGCAACTAAAATTATTAAGGGGATGGAACACCTTCCCTATGAAGAAAGGTTAAAGAGGTTAGGGCTCTTTAGCTTGGAGAAATGACAACTGAGGAGTGACATGACAGAGGCTTACAAAATTATGCATGAGATAGAGAAGGCAGAGAAAGAAGTACTTTTCTCCCTTTCCCACAATACAAGAACTCGTGGGCACTCAATGAAATTAATGAACAGTAGGCTTAGAACAGATAAAAGGAAGTGCTTCTTCACCTAAGGAGTAATTAACACATGGAATTCACTGACACAGGAAGTGGTGGCGGCTACAAGCATAGACAGTTTCAAGAGGTGATTGGATAAACATATGGAGCAGAGGTAAAGATGAACCCTATGGCTGGGGCAGTGATGCTCTGTATTCTTGGTGCCTGGGGGACAACAGCGGGAAGGCTTCTGGAGTTCTGGCCGCACTGGTGGACCTCCTGATGGCACCTGGGTTTTGGTCACTGTGTGACACAGACTGTTGGACTGGATGGGCTATTGGCCTGATCCAACATGGCTTCTCTTATGTTCTTATAATTAACACAGCACCCATCTCAAGCTGCCAGGAGCTGTTTCCCAAACTTCTCATACGAAAGGCATATTTTTTCTGAATTAAAACTGCTGGCACATCTAATTTTTACAAGGTACTGCACATGGAAATGCAATAGGCAGCATCCTCTGAGGGCAGGGAATTATGCTCTTTCTGCTTCAGGAGGGATGGAAGGCCCAATCACACTCAATGCACACCTAAGAGCAGAATTACCCACCTCTCAGCAGCAACTGATTGCACGGAGGAAGGCCAGAGAAATAAATCATGCAGATTCAGGGGAAGCCATTTTAAATTCCAGAAGCAATCTTTTCAATTATGGGTTTTTCTGACATAGATCTTCAGTCAAAAATATCTGATGAAACACATTCAGGCTGATATTTAATATACACAAAGCCCTATTAGCTCATTTAATTAGTTGTTGTTATTATTATTAATTTAATTTATAGACTGCCCTACCCCGGGCTCAGGGCAGTGCACAACAGGTTAAAATACAAATAAGTCAATTCCAGTTACAATAAAATCAGCAGCACCAATCAATGGGATAACATTGTGCTTCATTCCCTCCCTCATTGCAGCAGGTATGGTGACAGCTGCTCACTTGGAAGGCTTTAAAAGAATTCACACATTCATGGAAAATGGGTCTATCACCAGCATTTACTCATGATGATCAGTAACTGGAACCTGGGAGTTCAGTCTAAATCACACATTGTCAGGAGCAAAACAACATGGAAAGACAAATATCTTTCTACTAGGCTTGAGTGCTTCCAGAGATCTCTGGCTACCTAAGATTCTTCTACTCCAAATTTCCCTCTCTGCTGTTCCTTGCCTTTTCTACTCCTGCCCTGCCCCACCCTCATAAAGAGACCTAGTGGCATAGTAGTTACAAGTATTAGGTTAGGACAGAGGACATCTGGGTTCAAATCCCTATTCTGCCATGAAGCTCACTTGGTGACTTTGATTCAGTCTCACTTTATAAGCCTACCCTCCTCTAAGGCTTGTTGTGAGGATAAAGTGGAGAAAGACAGAACCATGCATGCTGCCTTAAGATCCTTGGAAGGAAGAAATATAATGGTTAAAGGAAACCCCTACTTTTCTCCAACCAGAAGAAAAGGTATAAACTTGTGAATGCCTTCTGTCCAACACGTCCTCACTGACGCACTCTGATGGTCAGCCTACATTCCCAGTGTGTCGTGACATCAGAAGACAAGGAATGAACTATATTTGTTCTCTAGCACTGGTACTAGGTCAAAGCTTAAAAGAATATCTGTGTCAGAACCCACAGCCAACAACGAAGTACACGCATTCAGGAACGGTTATACTTTTATTGCAGAGCTATAGATGCAAGAACATAGGCACTGTTAAGAATGGCGGTGGCCCCATGGGCATAATAGGATATAGGGTATTCGTATGCACACACACACCCCACAGCACTGGCCAATTAGGCACCCTCCCGCACGCGGGATAAAGCTTAGAGACCGTTAGGTAGCTGAAGCTGAGAATGAACACTCTCCCATGACACCAAGGGAAAACCCAGACACCACAACACCCTCCTGCACATCTGTATAGATAAGCATATCGGCGCACAGCAGAGAAAGCACAGAAAGGAATGCAGTAGCAATTAACCTGAAAGGAAAGCAATAGCAATTAACCAGATACAGACCAAACTCCCCAACCTTCATGGCAGCATAGCTGACAATCTGTCACATACATGTATGCTGATGTTTAAAGAATTTGTCCATGCCCTTTTTCTATTGAATAGCACTGTACCATGAATAAGAATGTGCCACTGAGTGCAGCCCGCTTCACAGGTCAACTAACTGCATCCTTTCAACTTCTTATGGAAGAAGTTTCTCACTGTACACCGTCCCACTGGACAAGGTGGGATTTGCTTCCAAATACGGATATGTGCAAGATGCAAGTTTATTATTTATTATTTCCAATTTATAACCTGCCTTTCCTGCACAGGTAACCTTAAGGTGGCGTACAACATGTTAAAATACAATACAATAAATACAATAAAACAGATGCATAGATGCAATACTATAAAATTTACGTAACACACAGTGTACATACAAAGTGCAATTGAGTGCAGATGGCGAGCAATGCTCCCTCTAAGCCGTGGAGCCTTGTGAGCAAAAATTCTACTTTGTGAGCTACTGGCATTAAAATTGTGAGCCAGCAATTTGGCTACCGCAGAAATTAGTTTGCTCTGGAGCCATCCTTCCGGAGCGAAGACAAAAAGGTGTGAGCCGGAGGCTAAAAAACTGTGAGCTAGCTCACACTAACTCAGCTTAGAGGGAACACTGATGGCAAGTGCTGTATGATGGTCCATAGTTGTTCTTGGTGCCACTGACATGGGGGCCATGATGGTTCAGTTTTTAAGCTTGTTCCTCAGTGGCGGCTCCTAATCGAAGGCCTCGTGGAAGAGCTCCGTTTTACAGGCCCTGCGGAACTGTAAAAGTTCCTGCAGGGCCCTGTCTTCTGGGAGCTCATTCCACCAGTGTGGAGCCATCACTGAAAAGGCCCTAGCTCTGGTAGCGGCCAATCTGGCATCTTTCAGACCAGGGAGAGTCAGGCGATTTTGTGACCCTGACCTCAGTGCTCTCTGGGGGGCATATGGGGAAAGGTGGTCCCTCAGGTAGGCAGGCCCCTGACCATAAAGGGCTTTAAAGGTCAAAGCCAGCACCTTGAAGCGAATGCGGTATGCTATTGGCAGCCAGTGCAATGCCTTCAGCACAGGCCGGATGTGCTCTCGTATAGAGAGGCCCATCAGCAGCCTGGCTGCTGCATTTTGCACCAGCTACAGCTTCCAGATTTGGGACAAGGGCAGCCCCAAGTAGAGAGCGTTGCAGTCGTCCAATCTTGAGGTGACCATAGCATGGATCACCATTGCCAGGTGACTGCATTCGAGGAAGGGAACCAACTGCCTGATCATCCGTATATGGTAAAAGGCTGCCTTGGCAGTGGCTGCTACCTGGGCCTCCATTGTTAAGGCGGCATCCAGGAGCACTCCCAGAATCCTGACCCTCAGCATTGGCACCAAAAGCACCCCATCAAAGGTTGGTAGTGGGATCCCTACCCCCAACCCGCTCCGACTCAGGCACAGGACCTCCGTCTTCGTTAGATTCAATCTCAATTGTCTCAGTCTAAGCCAGCCTGCCATGTCCTGAAGCACCCCATCCAGGTCATCTGGGGTAGAGTCGGACTGACCACCTAACAACAGATATAGCCGGGTGTCGTCTGCGTATTCTTGACACCCTCGCCTGTGCCTCCAGGCAATCGGGCGCATGTAGATGTTAAATAACATCGGGGATAGCACCGCTCCTTGAGGAACCCCGCAAGTCAGCAGGTGCCTCTGGGATGTCTGATCCCCTAATGCCACCCTCTGTCCCTGACCTTGGAGAAAGGAGACAAGCCATTGCAAGGCAAGCCCCTGAATCCCAGTGTTGGCAAGGCAGTGGATCAGTAACTGATGGTCGACTGTGTCAAACGCCACCAACAGGTCCAACAACAGAACCACCATGCCGCCCCAATCCAGATGCCTCCGGAGGTAGTCTGTGAGGGTGACCAGTGCCATCTCTGTCCCATGGCCTGGACGAAAGCCAGACTGGAAAGGGTCTAGCATGGAAGTGTCATCCATAAAGCTCTGCAACTGAATCGCCACCACTCTCTCAAGTAATTTGCCCTAGTTAGCCAATTCAGCCGGGTCCAAGGATGGTTTTTTTAGGAGAGGGCAGACCATCGCTTCCTTGAGTGCCCCGGGAACAGTCCCTCAATTAATGACTTGTTGATAATATCCCTGAGGGAATCTCGAAACCCTTCACAGCCAGCTTTTATAAGCCATGAAGGACAGGGATCCAGGCTACACGTGGTAGGGCATACTGTTGAGAGCAATCTGTCGACTTCCTCAAGTGGACTGAAATAATCCAGAATAGGACCAGAAGACCTGCGTTAATTAAATATAGGATAGGCATGCACAAGATAGAAAGAAAGCAGTCCAAATTATCATCTTAACTAAGAACGAATTGTTTTGGAACCACTCTTTAGATATCACAAAACTTCTCCAGATGGTTTAAAGATTAAGGATGAAGTCCTGAACACACTTCCTAGGGCATAAATTCCACTGAAGTCAACTGGATTTTCTTCTGAGTACAAATTGTTAGGGTTGCACTGTAAATTTATTGCAGCAGTATAAGCTAAATTGCACAATAACGTTTCATACGGTAAAAAAATTATAATGTACTGTCTTCTACGAGCATCAAGGCAGACTACATTTCTTTGATACTTAGATACCGCTTTTTGCAAAAAGCAGAACGAAGGCTGCTGCCGGCTTGGCGTTCAAATTACCTGTAATAAAAGATCCCTCGTCCTCGAAACCTAACTTCTCTACATCAAAGGGCATCTCTTTCGACCTACGAACATTTGTTCTATTAAACGACTCCCTAACCCCATTTGTCCCCGCATAACTGAATATGCTGGACGCGATGAAAGGCCTCATTGGCCCGACTTCCCGCTCAGCTCGCCGCAAGCCTCCGCGCGCCTCTCTCAGGCCTGCTACAGAGAGACGCACTCTGCCACCTCCCCTCACCCTCGCTCCACAATTGGCTGCCTCCGTCCCGGAAGGCCCGTGCGTCATTTCCGGGGAGGCCGCCATCTTGTCGGCGGTTGGTGGAGTTCGACGCGGCTCAACCTGGGACGCCTCCGCCTGCCTCGTTGCCGGCCTGTTTGCCCGCTTCTTCGGTCGAAGCCGCCTGTACCGTACCGCCGCCGGTCCCCGGTGCCGCCATGGCCCACAACTGCCCTGTTGTGGGCGCCGGGAATTGCCATCCGCCGCCGCAGCACCAGGGGGCCCAGCCGCCGCATCCGCAGGCCGGAGCCGTCTTGTCGCCCCCGCTGCCGCTCCAAAGCGCGGGCCCGAAGCCGGCAGCCTCGGGCAAGCAAGGCAACGTCCTGCCCCTGTGGGGGAACGAGAAGACCATGAACCTGAACCCCATGATCCTCACCAACATCCTCTCCTCGCCTTACTTCAAGGTGCAGCTCTACGAGCTGAAGACCTACCACGAGGTGGTCGATGAGATCTACTTCAAGGTGAGCGAGTCGGGAAGGGGATTGGGAGGGTGGCAGCGGCGGAGGCCCGCTCCTGCCTCGTGGGTCGTCTCCAGCTCCGGCTTCTCCCGCTGCTGCCGTCATTCCTTTATAGATGTGTGAGAATCTGTCTCGGTTTCGCATTCCCTTCTGCCATATTTTTGCGAAACAATATTAGGCATTTTTTTACGATCCCAAAATCAAGTCAAGGACTGAGCTTCATTGCTCTTAAAAGAGCTCAGTGTGGCTGTAAGAATTCTTTGTGGCTTTTATTTTTTCTATGATGAATAGCTGTAAAGCTCTCTGCTATAGTCTGAACCATATTGTTCAGGTTGGGGATATTTCGGTATTATTCGTGTATGGAGGGGGCGACACATTATGCAACTGTTCCACGTTGTCGAGATTTGGGCTGGTCAGACTCCTAAACCTGATGCTGGTGCCAGTTGAAACATTATATCTGTGTGTATAAGCAAGGGGGGGGGGAGAGAAACTGGAGAGTGTCATTGTTAATGTTATTTACTCTAGATATTTGTAATCGTATTTTTCCCAACAACTGAGACCCAAGGCAGACTTCAAAGAAAAAACATAATTTCAAGTAAAACATGCACCATTATTTAGCATTTAAAAGTCTCCTTGAAGACTTGCAGTTATACAGTTTATATTCCACCTTTCAACACAGTAGGGACCAAAATTAATTTACATTGTTGTCTTCATTTTCATAACCCTGTGAAGTAGATTAGGATGAGAATGTGTAACTGATTCACTCAGCACTCAGGAAATTTCCATGGCAGAGTGGGGATTTCCCCCAGATCATAGTGTGACAATTTAACCACTACATCACACTGGTTGTTGTGCCTTGAATGGTTATGATAGTGCATTTTTCTATTTTGCTCAAGTCCTGGCACAGAGCTATTTTATCTCTGTGTTTATTAAGGCTCATAATTGAAATATTTGTGCATATGAGTTATGTCTCTTTTTTTAAAATGAGGTACTTGTCCTGATATGGAGAGTAGGATCTCTTCAGCTTGATATATTTGGTCCCTGTCTTTAGTCTACTGTGTCCATTTGGTAGGGCCTCTTGTCAAGCAAATACAAATTCTGCAGTCTGAAAGTTGATCAGGAGTTGCTTATTTTCTGAATGCTCATTCTAACTTTAAAGTTGATTATTTTGTGCTGGAGTGGGAAAGAGGGATCCTCTGGAGTTAGCAAAATACCTTGAAATTGATCCAACAACTAGATGGGTCAAAAGTTCACCTATTATCTTTGTGTCCTTATGAACCCTTTGGCCCTTTTAAGATGAGACCTGACTGACTGACTGAATAACATGGATAGAGACCTGGAGTTTGCATTTTTTTAAATGAAAATATATTATGATGTTGGCATAATTTGATATGCTAATAGATCGTGTTCTTTCTGTAACCTAGAGGGAAATTGTTAAATGTATTTAGCTGTGCTGAACTGTGGCCTTTTCCACTTCTGTGTCTGAACTGTGTGTATCTCCAAAATGAGAGAAAGAGGCAGCTTTCATTGTATTAGCTTTTTCTTCCTGTGATTGTGATGCAGCATGTCTTTTTATAATTGATAAAACACTTACCTTGTGCAATCTATTTTTGACTAGCAGATATTCTCAGCTCTAAAGTTTGGTATGTCTAACCAAAATGAAGTTGTTTCAATTGAAGAAAAAATGTTGCTTTAATCTACTTTGCAGGAGGTAGTTCTGATTTTAAGACGCAGTGTTGTGTTTCAGTTTAAATTAAATTTGGGAAATCTGTCAAGATAATGTATTATATTTGTCAAGATGGCTTTGTTCATTTATGTGAATTCTAAATAATATAGACAAAAAAAGATGAAATGCTCTCCAGTGAGACATGCTATAAATACTTTCAAAGGGATTTATAAAGGATGTGCACTGCACGCATATTCGCTCAGAAGTAAGCTCCACTGACATTGGGATTTACTCTCTTGTAAATGGCCGCAGCATTGTACTTGGTGCCTGTATACATGCATCCCAAACGTTTGGAATGGCACCCACAACCTTGGCAATCCTTAAACTGCGCCAAACTGAATTATTCAGGAGGGTGTGTACAGGTAGTAGGGCTATATGATAATGATTCAGGAAGATGCTTTAAGAAAGGGAAAGGGACTAAACTATACTGATATGTATAGCAAGTACTATCTGTCATTGTGTGTATTAATGTGTAACTTTTTCATTGTTTAACAAATCATGTTAATACTTTCACCTTCTTTCTACTTTGTTTTGGATTTTTGCTTCCTTTCAGATGTACACAAGCCTAATTGTATTACCTTGTTCCTTGGATGTCCTATCCTATTGATTGTATTGAATGATACTGTGTAATCTGCTTTGCATCTCCATGAGAAAGGGGAATTATACATAATGTAAATATATTATCCAGTCTCTTTGTTCCTCTGGCAGAATGACATTCCATTTGCAGAAAAGGGAGTGGTAATTTCTTTCTTCTACTGCAGACCCTCACTTTTCCCCCATGTTGTTCCAAGGATCTGCTGATCCCCCCAGGAAAAAACTTTCCAGTGTGCTCAGGTGACCCTCACTGGGAAAGTCCAAATCTATATAGTCCACAGGTGGCTGGATACACACCAGTATATTTGTTCATGAAGGGGCTGAAATGTAGACATTTAAATTTTTTGTCCTCCAATGGGTTAAGTATTAATATGCCTAATTATTCTAATTCAGCACTCAGTTTCAGAAAAGAGGATGACTGCCTTACGCTTTTTCTGTAGTCTCATTCATGAAGGTTTTGAGCAACTTAAACATAATTTAATTAGCATGGGAGGTCTGCTGCCTAGGCAAATTCCAATTGCTGTTTACTATAGCAGAGAACCACTTGGGACAAGTGTGCTGCCCCTTCTATACAATTTTTTGTATCGAAACAATTTGTTGGTTCCTTTTTGTTATTAAAATATGATTTATAATCTAGAAGAGTGAGCAAAGACTTTCACATTTAATATTCTATCTGATTTTTTAAAAATTGCAATATTTATACATTACTTTGAAGCCACAGAAGCTCCCAAGGTGGTCTACATTAAAAACTGAAGCATTTCATCATAATAAAATAAGACTGTTGTAGGTATTTTATTTATTTATTTATTTATTTGATTTATATTCTGCCCTCCCCACAAGTGGGCTCAGGGCGGATTACAGCTGTTTTTTCTTCAGTGGTGAAGCCAGGGAACATAGCATCCCTTTTCCCTGTAAGGATGATGCAGGGCAGAATCATGAAGCATTAATCTTCCCTAGAGAGTTGTGCAACTGCTGCCTGCTTGGTTGCTAATGACAACATGTCTCAGGTTCTGTTTGATGTTTCAGAGATGTGAGAGGGCAGGGCTGTCCAATTACCACTGTCTCCCAGATAAAGATTCCCTGGTGGGTCAGCCCACACTGTCCAGGCATTGTATGACTTGTTTCACAGCCCTTTGAGAACCTTGTCCTGTCTAACTCTGTCCTCTTATCTGAGCAGACAGGACATTCAGTGCTCCTTCCCAGCCCTCTCAGTGTTCTACCCTTTTCCCTCTTTATAAGGCCATTTGAAAGTCCCAGGACAACACTAGTGACCTACAGCACCAGATTTTGATTTCCATAATACCATAATATTATGATATCATAATCATGATATTGATTAGATCCTCCCCACAGCAATAAACCTTTCTCATGGCTCATTCTCTTTTGGCCTGACCTACATTAGACAAATACAGGGCTTTTTTTCTGGGAGAACGTGCTGGAATGGAGTTCCAGAACCTCTTCAACGAAATTCTTCTAAAAATGTTTAAAAGTTCATGAGTTTTCAGTACAGATAGGAAACTTCATTTCCCTCTTGAGAGTTCCGGCACCTCTTTAAAAAATGCCCTGGACAAATATGAGGATAAAATGTATACAAAACTATTGATCATTGTAGAAAAGGCAGGATAAAAATGTGACAGGAGAGGGACATTGACATCATGTTGTATTTTAGAGGTGCTTAGACTTAGATGGCAGATGTAGGCTAGCTTTAAATTATTTATTTTTTTCTTTATCAACAGCTTCTTCCTGTACCGTATTGTAACTACTTTTAAGATGTGCTTATATTCAGAATGAATCTGCTGTGCAACTTGGCAGCTGTTCCAAGAGGGAAAGTCCAGTAAAGTATGAGATGGGCAGATGTGTTTAGTAGATTATGTTTTATGAAATACATGTTATATTTGTGATATATGTCACTAATTTAAAGATTTACAGTCTGATTCTACATATGCTAAGTTGGAAATCGATATCAG